AGGGAGAAGTACCCCCCCAATAAGCCACAGAATATATGCTCGCGCATGCTGCTGTCACGCCCATAACTCGCCCCTAAAAGTTTGGGCATGACCACCTCAGAAAAACGGACATAAAACCTGATGAATATAATCTATGGGGCCTGAACGGAAGCATTTAATAGTATATAATAGCAAACAAAAAAAAAATAATAATAATAGTAACAACATATCCATTGAGCTACCACTACCATGCCAGGATCACAAACAGAACATAATGCCGTTAAATATACAGTGACGTGCACCTGAAGATAGCTATGTACATATACATATACGCCGATCTTAACAGACATTTAGGGTACAAATTAAAACTAGCAAAACTCCACAACTTGAACAATCAACATCTAAGGGCTTAGATACTCAGGGTTTGACAACTGGGTAACAAAAGCCACAAGTGAAGGTTGATCTCCAGGTTGAGTGCCTACAGAAACAAACATAAAATAGAGTGAGTCAAACTCAGTGAATAATAATACATAACAATTCAATGCTCAACGTGAATTATAATCCATATCCGTGTGTTTATCAATAAAGAGAACATATGGTTTATTTGTTTCTGTATGCATAGCTAAGTATCTTTTTCAGAAAACTTGTCATATCTTGAACATTCGGGGTTCCATAGTGCATCTAGGCATTTTGGGGAAAATTATCCGGCAAGCATATCATATTATAAACATATCATAAGTTCATAGCATTTTTCTCATTTCAGAAGTTACTTATCATATGAAACATTTCGTAACTCCAAATACGGATTTCATCAAAGTCATTTATATTTTAAGTATCTTTTACGGAACGGCCTTGAGCGTAATCTTGAACACAATGGCTTTAAGCCCTTAACAGAACGGCTTGAAATCCTTAACAAAATGGCATGAAGCTCTTATCAAAACGGCATAAAAGCCCTTGAAACACATTGGCATTAAAGCCCTGAAACATATGGCATAAAAGCCCTTGGAACATCTGGCACAATAGCCCCTTGAAACATATGGCATAAAAAGCCCTTGAAAAATGGCATATAGCCCTTGAAAAGTTGGCATGAAGCCCTTGGGATGGCATAAAGCTCTTGTAACTTGTGATGGCATAAAGCCCTTGTAACTTGTGATGGCATAAAGCCCTTGTAATGGCATAAAGCCCATGAAACTTGTAATGGCATAAGCCCATGTAACTTGTAATGGCATAAAGCCCATGAAACTTGTAATGGCATAAAGCCCATGTAACTTGTAATGGCATAAAGCCCATAAAACTTGTAATGGCATAAATCCCATGTAACTTGTAATGGCATAAAGCCCATGAAACTTGTAATGGCATAAAGCCCATGTAACTTGTAATGGCATAAAGCCCATGAAACTTGTAATGGCATAAGCCCATGTAACTTGTAATGAGGATGATTTTAGTCTTCTTAAAGTATCAGTATGCAATAATGCACATAAGTTTCCCATGGCCTGATTACAAATTAATACAGGTGTCTCGCGAACAACTGGATAATATTAATCATAACAATTATTAACTGAGGCCACATAATAATATTAAACATTGCATGCGTGTCATAGGTTCTTGATGACCTCGGGTCCATAAGTAACACAATAGAATAATCTCAGTTTCATACAGATACTTGGCTTAAAAATGAACATAACTCTATTTATCCATTAAGAAACGACGTAGTTTGCTTATAGATAATAGAGAATTATTATTCGCTATTGATAGAACGAAGTCATTCCAAAGTCATACCGATATATGCCAATCTTTCAACGTTCACATTGACTTTCACTCATCATAATTGTTCATGTAACATGTTTGTGTAACACTTACAAGAAACAGAGCGTTAGTGATAATAATCATCAATAATAAATAAAATGTACATCTCCGTACTATTACTCACAGTGCATTGGTGGAGCATCTATTCCTCCCGAAGTGTGTCCTACACACATATGAAGTCACACATTAATTCTTTAAATCATTTCCCCTAATTTCCTTTCTCAATTTAACATGATTTATAATGCCCATAACAAGGTTCATTCGTAAATTTTTAACATTATTGCAAAACATCTCAGAAATTCAATTAAACTTGTACACGTATAACTCAACCCACCAATTTCATGATTCTATTTCCAATTTGAGCAAAATCATTCTTTATCATCACAAATTCATCTAGGGTTTCAAGAACATAAAGTTTTCCGTAAAAAAATTCATACTTCTCATACCATGACCTTACATCCCAATTCCCTCCTTGATTATACATCTAGGGATCATACTCCATCACTTTAACCCATCAATTGAACCTTCAATGTTTCAAACTCAAAATTCCCAAAATCTCATAATTTCCTCTATATGCTCAAAATGAAAATTTATACATTTATACAATGAAAATACCTCAAATCTAACCATGGATGTAAGTATTGAAGAGAAATAGAACCCCTACCTCAATAATCAAGCAAAAGAGTGGGCTTGGAAAGAAGCCTTCGCGAAAACATTAATCCTCCCTTGTTCTTCATCCTTGATGCCAAAAACCATGGTGGATCGTGATCAAAGTAAAGGAATTCAAGGGTTTGGGGGCTAGGGTTTCAGACATGGAAGACAGGAAGGAAGAGGAAAGAAGAAAAACATCTAAAATGATCCAAAATCCCGTTTTTAAAGCTGCTGGTCCGAAAAACCCGCTCGAGCGCACATCTTCACGCTCGAGCGTACATGCATTCAGTACAGATGTCAAAACTTCAAATAGGCATAACTCTCCCATCCGGACTCCGTTTTAAGTCGTTCTTGTGCTCAAATTGAAGCCCCGAAAATAAGCTTTCCAATGGTTCCAACCTCACATCCAAATTCAAAGTGTGGAAAAAGAAAAAGGCAAAAGAGTGACGGATGATCGTAGACAAAATATTCAAACTAAAGTTTTTGATCCAATCTTACTCTACCATCATATTACCACCACAATCAAGACCCCAAAATAAAATAATGAGGTTCCAAATACACCACTACAATGTCAAGGGAAATCTTACTTCTCACGCTCGAGGGTCGCTTCAACCGTTCGAGCGCGCACAGACCAATAAAGCAGTCCGCTCGAGCGTCAACTTCTCCGCTCGAGCGGAGATTCACAACTCCCAGAATCTCAGGCCGTCTGCAAAATTGCTGAGAACCCCAAAAGTCCGCTCGAGCGTAAACTCCTCCGCTCGAGCGGAGGGAAAAATTCTAGGTCGTCACAGCTGCTGTACTAACTCATCTGCAGCATGATCTGGAAAATCGCCCTGAAAATGCTCCGACAGCCACCTCACCCTCACTCTACCTGCCTGTAAGTCTGCAGGTGTAGGTGCTACTCCCAATAGCTCAGCACATAGCGCTATCCACTGCTCCGTCGTCAATGATGGGTCAAGTCCAGTAACTGCTCGGCTATCAATCCGTAGACCGTATAGGACAGATACGTCCTGCAATGTGACGGTGGCCTCACCGGTCGGGAAATGAAATGTATGAGTCTCTGTGCGCCATCTCTCGACGAGAGCAGTAATGAGTGGGTGGTCCAGTCTGATATGGCCTATACGATATACACCATAGAATTCCGCGCGTAGTAGACACTACAAGACTCTATGGTCCAATGGACGATCCCACAGGCCGGAATCTCCCCGTCGGCATGCCACCACGGTGCGTGACTGGTCCTGCATAACAGAATGAGTATTTTAAATTATAGCATTATCAAAGAAATCAAAAACAAAATGCAGTGTATTTTCATTGTACCCGTAAAGTCCAACAAACATTATTGCATACCGGGTCCTCCCATATACTGTCAGCCCGATGTGGATGACTCAAAAGGGGGACCTCATCAGGTAGATGTGCCATGAAGCCTGTACAGTTGAATAACAAATACATTTTGAAAAACTGTATTGGTGAGCATGTAATTTAACTATATCAATTAAGCTCAAATTATTATGTACATGACGACTTGGAAAATAAATGTGATTGATTATTTTAAAAGTATAAATTTGTGTGTCATTAACATGGAAGCAATTAACTAAAATTAGAATTTTGCATATTATGTGCCATTAAATATGATAAGCAATTCAACATAACCTATCGTTATCTATGCTTCGGACTAATATAAAAATCTTTTACAAAGTCATTTTACGATCTCAGTTACATAAGCTTAATAATGACCAATAACATGTGGATAGTTTTTGTCTGTCAATATTTACAAAAAAATGGAATGATCATTTTTTTTTCAAAACTTCATTATTGATTTTGGCATATTTGACATAACCTCATTATTGATTTTGACATATTTGACAAAACTTCGTTACATTTATGGCATATTCGACAACTTCATTATTGATTTTATAATTTTTGTTTTGCAATAAAGTATAAAATTTGTAAATTACGTATATGTAATTCATAAATTCTAAATGTACAAAATGCTTGAATCAGTCGAAATATTAAAATCTTAAAATGAAAGAAAAACTATGTGATTTTAAATAAAATTCTGTAATAAACATTTTCAATGAAGTAGAGAATAAAAACTATGATAGTTGTAAATTTTGTCAAGCAAATAAAACAATTACAATATATAAAGAATTAAACAATAGAAACGATCTATTACAAATAAAAAATGTTCTATTAAATGTATGACCCCGTTTACAAATAATGAATTACAAAAGAAAAGAAAATGATCTATTATAAATAAAGAATTACAAAAAGATCTATTACAATATGTAAGTATTACACAGTCAAAGAAAATAAAATTATCTATTACAAATAAAGAATTAAGAAATGATCTATTACAATATGTAAGTCATGCATAGTCTTCATCGACCAACTCGTGCCGGACATGTTCGCATGTCATGACCTGTCTGCTGGCACTGACTGCAACGAGCGGTCAAACGCCTATCTGATATGCCCATCTCATTCGGAATACGAGACATAGATGCACGACCCCGTTTAACTTCTCGCAGACGCAGTACATTAGGCATTGAGGTCCACTGCGGATCAACTCAATAATCTTGATGCGGTATTGGATTGAATTTAGTTTCCCAAACCCTCATGTATACAGGAAGCCTATATACTAGATCAACGTACTCGAATGGATTGTCACCGCATTCAGACATTACAGCGAGCATATGAGAACATGGATAATGTCGTATCTCATATTTTCCACAACTGCACGTGGGTTGATTCATCCGCACAATTTGTGTATTGCGACCTCGTCCATGGCGAAAAAATGTTTGCACCTCAAACACGCGGCGTGGCCTATCAGAAAATTGTAATAGAAATTAATCAAGTTCATGTTTTTACGTGTACTTAACTTGACAACATAATAACAACAATTTAGTTTATATTACAAACTAACCTGTCATATGATATCAACCTGAAAGTATTTGCCCTTGCGATGCCATCCTCAATAGTTTTTTGCATATCTCTAGGGTATTGAAACTCATTTCGTACATCTATTTCAGCTTGGGCTCCCATCTCGTCAAAATATTTTACGAGCCGCCGAAATGTAAATTCAACCATAGCTGAGATAGGTAAGTTCCTTGCACCTTTCAAGACGCTATTGAAGCACTCTGCATCATTGCTGGTCAATACCCCCCACCGATGTCCACCGTCATACGAAAGGGCCCACTCCTCAGGATTCATCTTGTAAACCCAATTAATGGCTTCCTGGTCAATAGCCTGTATTTGTTGTAAGTAACCATTATACTTCCGTCGTTGATGAGCACTCCCTGCTTTCCATAGAAGTTGTTTGAGCTCCTTATTTTTGAACTTAGTGTTGAAGTTACTACAAACATGTCGAAGGCAGTGCCGATGATATCCAACAAATTGAAGCGAGGGATTCAACCAATGCCGCCTCACAGCAGCTAAAATACTCTCAGCTCGATCAGATATCAAAGTCACTCCCTGTCGATCCATGACAATATGTTCCTTGATATTTGCAATGAAGAACGACCAAGACTCCAAACTCTCCCTGTCGACAACAGCGAATGCAAGCGGTAATATTTTGCCATTGGCAGTGACAATCGTTGCTACAAGCAACACACCATTGTATTTCCCGTATAAGAATGTACCATCTATGGTTATAACAGGCCTACAATGTCTGAATCCATCGATGACGGGTTTGAAAGACCAGAAAACAAAGTGGAAGACGGGCATAATGGTTGTACTTCCGGTATATTTGTGCTTCCATTGCACAATGGTGCCAGGATTAGATGTTTGTAATGCATACATGAATTTAGGCAACATCCTATATGATTCATCCCAATCCCCGAATACCATTCTAATTGCCTTTGCCCTTGCATGCCAGGCCTTCTTGTATGATATACTATAGTTCATGGTCTTTTTTATATCTTCGATGACATTCTTAATGGGCATATCAGGTTCATTCTGCATACAACAAACAAATTATTTTGGTGTGAACACTTTAAACAAACAAATATGTATATAAATGTAAACATTTATTTTGTATACTCACCGCAACTTGTCCCAAAAGATGAGAAGCAATGTAACTGGAGCTAATATTTGTGTGGTCCCTGTTCATTCGTGGGTATAAACAATGGTGAGGACCCCTATACTGCTTTATTTCAAAAAGACCATGTTTCCTACTAAGAGATGCACGCAACCACCATCTACAATCGTGTTTGCAAGCACACACCCAAACGTCTCCCTTGGAGGTTACGACTTTATACTCTCGATTATTTGTTGCGTGGTACAATTTCACAGCATGTATCAGTTGCTTCTTATCAACAAAAACCATCCCTTTGTCCAACTCTGGATTTTCAGCATTCCAGATTCGGTTACGGGGAATGACATCGCGGTTACTAATGTCAAAATCACAACCTATGTGAATGTTTTCATAGAAAGGGATTTCAGGTCTAGGTGGAATGGGGGCATTCTGAATATCAACGGGAGCGTCGGCATCATCTTCTTCATCATCATCATCATCTGATCCACCCAATAAATTTTCTTCATCACACATTTCATTCTCATCATTGTCTAGGGCGACATCAGGACCGTACATGTCACTGTCAGCAAACTGCACAGAATTAACCGTTTCAGCCATATTACCAGCAACTTCAACTTGAGTGGTATGATAACTGTAGGTGGGCACATCTTCGATGTTATTGTGAAATTCAGTCTCGTATCCACCACGTGAACTTGATTCTCCACCATGGCCATGAAATGTCTGTTGTGTGTAGCCAGCTACATAACATTCATTCGATTCATACATAGGAGACTGAAACGCTGTCGTGTTAATCCCATGTGTCAGCAATGTAGTGAACGGATGAGAATCCATCTGTGTTATATTCGGAAGATTTTGTACAACCTGTTTCTCAATGTACACTTCCAAACAATTTGGTGGTTGGAAACTTCCACCGATACTTAATACGGTGTTCAACGCCTCATCGTCATTGATCGGTAATATTTGTATTTGCTGGTTGCTTGCCACTAGCGATAAGGATATCTGCATTTGAAGATCAATCGGACTATTTCCCCGTAACTTGCCACCTTGGACATAAACATCTCCTCCAAATTGCTAAGTGTAGTGCCAAGTTGCACCCCATATATCCCTTTCGGCTCAGCATCATATGACACACCTTCATCGGGATCCCGAATTATGTTTCCCCCCCAATAAAAGATAATTGGAACAGTTGCCATATACTTGCTTCAATGAAACAATAAATATTAAAATATCAACAATATACATATATCGAATTGTACTTGTAAAATAAACATTAAAATTTGCAGAAGCCACAAATAAAAGCAACCCTCTAATTTTTTATCAATTTATATTTTCCAGGGTTGAAGGAACTGTAGAGGTGAAACATTAATTCAATTTGTATTTTATCAACTATATATTTGTGTCTCAACTTGATTATTACTGTTTATTTTCTCATTTTGTTCACTTATTTTTATTCGTATAACAGAACAGCTGAGATTTCATCTATACGTGGAGTTATAGATTGTGTCTCATTTACTTCCTATGTGAAGACTCTTATCTTTTCAACGTGAATGTTCTTTGTTGTCATTGCTCTATTGTCTTAATCTAAAAAACACATAACAAGAAGTATACTTGTTGTCTTAATTCTTTCAAATTAGTGGCGAAAAATAAAATAGGTTGAGAGATATTTAGTAGAGGGTGACGCGATTGATTTGGACAATATAAAATACAGGGTGCAAACATTGAGAGAGATTTTTTAACCTGGTGATGTAATTGTTCAGATTTATGGAAAATATAAGTTAATTTGATTTGCTCCAACTTGTGCCATTACGGACCTTAATGACAAAGTTATTTCCTATGTGAACTAGTAACCCTCGTCCATTTTGTAGAGGGCATAGAGGCTTTCTTATAAAATTAAAACAACAAACTGATTTTGGATCATTTTGGATCGTTCTGAAAAGTAAGAAAAAAATTAAATTTATTTACTCCTTTTTTTTCTTACACATACAAAAACAAAAAAATAATTACAGAGATAATTTATAATGGCAAAAAATTAGAGATAATTAAATTGAAGTTGGTGGTTAAATGTATGGACTACATTTTGGATAGTTATCCATGTGAATCTATCGGGCCATCCGTACCAATTATTTAGTATTACAAAACACATGCTTACCCATCAAAGTGCCAATTTTTTTTTCCCCTTCTTACGTACGAAATTGCTATGGACTATTAATTAAAATAATTTATTACTCTTTTCATGCATATATGTCTGCACACCTCTATGGACAGAATAATTATGATATTTGCTTCCGCCAACCCCTAATTTTGTAAATCTATTTAAGTGGCCTTCGGTAATCTTAGGATTACTGGCCGGTCATACCTATAGTAGCGGGTTTGGGTCGTGATAGAGTGGTATCAGAGCACGAGTTATACCGTACACATGAGTCCATATAAGCTACAAGATGTCCTAGAAAGAATTAGGGGCATTACATCAGCATGTGTTAGTGTATGTGAAATTATACGACATGTCTGAAACAATTAGACATGAAATTATTTCCGGTATATCTATGCTTCCATTGCACGATGGTGCCAGGATTAGATGTTTGTAATGCATACATGAATTTAGGCAACATCATATATGATTCATCCCAATCTCCGAATACCATTCTAATTGCCTTTGCCCTTGCATGCCACGCCTTCTTGTAATGTATAGTATAGTTCATGGACTTTTTTGTGTCTTCGATGACATTCTTAATGGGCATATCAGGTTCGTTCTGCATACAACAATACCTATGAGTCAGATAATTTTGGTGTGAACACTTTAAATAAACAATGTGTATATAAATGTAAACATTTATTTTGTATACTCACCGCAACTTGTCCCAAAAGATGAGAAGCAATGTAACTGGAGCTAATATTTGTGTGGTCCCTGTTCGTTCGTGGGTATAAACAATGGTGAGGACCCCTATACTGCTTTATTTCAAAAAGCCCATGTCTCTTAGTAAGAGATGCACGCAACCACCATCTACAGTCGTGCTTGCAAGCACACACCCAAACGTCTCGCTTGGAGGTTACGACTTTGTACTCTCGATTATTTGTTGCATGGTACAATTTCACAGCATGTACGAGTTGCTTCTTATCAACGAAAACCATCCCTTTGTCCAACTCTGGATTTTCAGCATTCCAGATTCGGTTACGGGGAACGACATCGCGGTTACTAATGTCAAAATCACCACCCATGTGAATGTTTTCAAAGAAAGGGATTTCAGGTCTAGGTGGAATGGGGGCATTCTGAATATCAACGGGAGCGTCGACATCATCTTCTTCATCATCATCATCATCTGATCCGCCCAATAAATTTTCTTCATCACACATTTCATTCTCATCATTGTCTAGGGCGACATCAGGACCGTACATGTCACTGTCAGCAAACTGCACAAAATTAACCGTTTCAGCCATATTATCAGCAACTTCAACTGGAGTCGTATGATGGCTATAGGTGGGCACATCTTGGGTGTTATTGTGAAATTCAGTCTCGTATCCACCATGTGAACTTGATTCTCCACCATGGTCATGAAATGTCTGTTGTGTGTAGCCAGCTGCATAACATTCATTTGATTCATACATAGGAGACTAAAATGCTGTCGTGTCAACCCCATGTGTCAGCAATGTAGTGAACGGATGCGAATCCATCTGTGTTATATTCGGAAGATTCTGTACAACCTCTTTCTGAATGTACACTTCCAAACAATTTGGTGGTTCGAAATTTCCACCGATATTTAAAACGGTGTTCAACGCCTCATCGTCATTTATCGGTAATATTTTGTATTTGCTGGTTGCTTGCCACTGGCGATAAGGATATCTACATTTAAAGATCAATCGGACTGTTTCCCCGTAACTTGCGACCTTGGACATAAACATCTCCTCCAAATTGCCAAGTGTCGTGCCAAGTTGCACCCTATATATCCCTTTCGGCTCAGCATCATATGACACACCTTCATCGGGATCCCGAATTATGTTTCCCCCCCAGTAAAAGATAATTGGAACAGTTGCCATATACTTGCTTCAATAAAACAATAAATATTAAAATATCAACAATATACATATATCGAATTGTACTTGTAAAATAAACATTAAAATTTGCAGAAGCCACAAATAAAAGCAACCCTCTAATTTTTTATCAATTTATATTTTCCAGGGTTGAAGGAACTGTAGAGGTGAAACATTAATTCAATTTGTAGTTTGTCAACTATATATTTGTGTCTCAACTTGATTATTACTGTTTATTTTCTCATTTTTTCACTTATTTTTATTCGTATAACAGAACAGCTGAGATTTCATCTATACGTGGAGTTATAGATTGTGTCTCATTTACTTCCTATGTGAAGACTCTTATCTTTTCAACTTGAATGTTCTTTGTTGTCATTGCTCTATTGTCTTAATCTAAAAAACACATAACAAGAAGTATACTTGTCTTAATTCTTTCGAATTAGTGGGATCATTTTGGATCGTTCTGAAAAGTAAGAAAACCTGATTTTGGATCATTTTGGATCGTTCTGAAAAGTAAGAAAACCTGATTTTGGATCATTTTGGATCGTTCTGAAAAGTTAGAAAAAAATTAAATTTATTTACTCCTTTTTTTTCTTACACATACAAAAACAAAAAAATAATTACAGAAATAATTTATAATGGCCAAAAATTACAGATAATTAAATTGAAGTTGGTGGTTAAATGTATGGACTACATTTTGGATAGTTATCCATGTGAATCTATCGGGCCATCCGTACCAATTATTTGGTATTACAAAACACATGCTTACCCATCAAAGTGCCAATTTTTTTTTTCCCTTCTTACGTACGAAATTGCTATGGACTATTAATTAAAATAATTTATTACTCTTTTCATGCATATATGTCTGCACACCTCTATGGACAAAATAATTATGATATTTGCTTCCGCCAACCCCTAATTTTGTAAATCTATTTAAGTGGCCTTCGGTAATCTTAGGATTACTGGCCGGTCATACCTATAGTAGCGGGTTTGGGTCGTAATAGAGTGGTATCAGAGCACGAGTTATACCGTACACATGAGTCCATATAAGCTACAAGATGTCCTAGAAAGAATTAGGGGCATTACATCAGCATGTGTTTGTGTATGTGAAATTATACGACATATCTGAAACAATTAGACATGAAATGAAATTGAGCATTGTCAAAACTATAAACGAGCTATTTGCCTATGTTTATCAGTGCTCTATTTACCTATAGCAAATGGAGAGAACAAGAAGTGATGATGTGATTGAATCCTTTGATGCTAGAATGGAAAGAATGTTAGAAGCTTTAACCGAGTCCATGAGATAACAACAGAGACAACAACTACCTCTTTCGCCTTCTTCAGTGCAAGTGGAACCGATAATTAATGACATTATCGGGTTGACTCAGAAATTTAACAAGATGAAACCTCTGACTTTTCTAGGTGTTATTGAGCCACTGAAAGTTGAAACCTGGATACTAGAAACTGAAAAATTATTTGAAGTGTTTCCATGTTGGATCATTTTGGATCGTTCTGAAAAGTAAGAAAAAAATTAAATTTATTTACTCCTTTTTTTTCTTACACATACAAAAACAAAAAAATAATTACAGAGATAATTTATAATGGCAAAAAATTAGAGATAATTAAATTGAAGTTGGTGGTTAAATGTATGGACTACATTTTGGATAGTTATCCATGTGAATCTATCGGGCCATCCGTACCAATTATTTGGTATTACAAAACACATGCTTACCCATCAAAGTGCCAATTTTTTTTTTCCCTTCTTACGTACGAAATTGCTATGGACTATTAATTAAAATAAT